ATTCTTCCCAGTTTGTGTTTCTGGGGTTTCTATGCGAGGCAGTTCGTTCCTGCACTCCTTTTACTTCAAATATTATGATTCCTCAGAGTAATTATACGTACTTGTAGAAAATTTTGCCTACTTTAATTCGGTATCTATATATCATAGTTATAATTGAAAAACACTTAGTTTTCCAATTGTAGTTAAAAAAGTGCTGAAAAATTAAGGTTTTCGCAATTTTCCTTGTAAATCCGTCACCTAGCGAGGCGGAAGATCTCAGATTCGGATACAGCACCACAAAAAACATGCATCTCAAATCACTATCCAACAATCAACACAACCACAACTAAAACAAAAATCGGAAGTCAACAACAAGGAATTAGCAAAAATTAAATATATTGTATTTTTAACGTAAAAATTTTGTCATCTACGGCTTACCTGAAACTTCAACCAATCAACAAACTTGCTTTTCCGTCGATTTCCGAATGATCGAAGAATAGAATCGCCTATGGTTTCACAATCGTAAACAAAATCGTAATCGAGATCGAAATCTTCATCGAAATCGAGTCGGATGATAAAATCCCCCCTCTGATCACATGGTCAACAAGTAAGAATATTTTTCAAATTAATGTATGCTAGAAAGTCCATTAATTGTTGTAATAGCAAAAGATTCAAGTTTCGTGTTGGCTGTGGGAGTTGGAAACATTGCAGCTTATACTCATGTTAAAAATAAGAGGATAAAATGTACTATTCAAAATGTGTTCTACATTCCTGGAGCTAAGGAAAAATCTGCTTTGTGTCAAAAAAAATTAGAGATTTCAAATATCAGTGTTGTTTGAAAAAGGGCAAATTAAATTAATAAGTAGTAGAAATGAGATTTAAGGGATCGGTAATAGAGAATGAGTTGTCATTTGAACTCGCTTCACCTGGATGCCTGAATGTTGAAAGTTATGATGATAGTGAATATATAAAATGGCATAAAAGATATGCCCATATAGGTTTTAGCGGTTTAAAGGAAATTATTTATTAGGACTGATATGGTTAAAGGGATAGATAAAAATTTAAAGATTCATTACGTAAGCTTTTGGTAAGCCTTGAATTAATCACGAGAATTCCTTTTGCCACTCGTACAATAAGTAGGTATTAAACTTCTTGAAATGTACATTCGGATTTATGTGGACCTATTATTACTCCTGTAGGTATAGATGGTAGGAAATATTTGCTAACATTTATAGATGATTTTTCAAATTTTTCAATAGTATTTATTTTAAAAACTAAATCTGAAATATATGATAGGTTTGTTGAGTATTTAAGTATTAACAAATGGTGGAAGCTAAATTTACTTGTAAAATTCATAAATTGAGATGTGATAAGTATTGATTATTTACAGTAGGTACCTACCATATTCGCCTCAACAAAACGGAAAGGCTAGACGTAAGAACAGAAGCTTATAGTGGAGCGTAGTAGAACAATATTGGAAAGGCAGGTATGTCCAAAGTTTTCTGGAGTGAGGCAGTTAGGACTGCGAATTATGTTATGAACAGAGGAATTTCTTCTTTACGCCCGCGAACTAACCTAACAAAATACATATTTCAATTTAAAAACACTATTGTAAGTGTTGAAAATGTTCCCCATTGTTTCTCAAGCCTAGTTTTTAGTCTTGCATTTTTTATTACTCTTATTCGGATGTTTGCAACATTCTGGGAGAAATTTTGCTATGGTCTACTCGAGGGTCTACATGAATTTTACGTTTGTGATCATCTACATCCAAGGGACTAATTTTGTATGGATACTTGGTCTTTTATGCATGTAACCCCATATGGGAAAATCCAATGGGGAGAGGTCGGGTGAGCCAAGCAGCCAGTTTATGAGACCGTTATTACCAACCCAACGATTGGTTAGAAAATTATTGAGAAATCTTGTACTGGGTTCATGATATGCCGGGCCACCATCGTGCTGGAAGTAGGTACTGGAAGTTTCCGTTTATAATCCAAAATCCAAGAATCATCTAACATATTATTATCTGCAAACCATTCCGTAAAAATCGCATGTACCTTCCACCATTAAGATTCTCTTCAGAAAAGAAGAGACCCACTACTAATTTGGAGTCGAAGATTCCAAGACAAACATTGATACCGACCAAATCTCTTCTGGAAAGCTGTTTCTCTATGAATCTCTTGGTTTCCATGGGTCCAACGATAGTGGATATTGCGAATAAAGCACCCGTTATTGCAATTACAAAAATTAGGACAAAACGTACATCATGCGTGATCGCAGTGATGTACCATTGCGATCAGAAAAATTAGAACAACAAAAATCTTCAAAGTCTCTTGTCTCTATAAAATAATTTAATTTGTAACCAAAAACTAAATTATTTTGGCATTTTATGACAAGTTGTTAACCTAGAAAGCTTCGGATGACATTATTTTGGCATTCTCCCACCCTTTTTTAACCTAGAATATGGCCTGAACCCAACATATTTTGAAATGTTTATTTAATGTCAAAATTTTGTATGTTACACCGGAAGCGCAAATTGATGATAATAATTTCTGTACTACTGTGTTTTGATCGCAATTGGTTCAAGATTTCTCAATAATTTTGTACCCAATCGTTGGATTGGCGATAACGGTCCCATAAACTGGCCGCCTCGTTCATCCGACCTCTTCCGATTGAATTTTTTCATATGGAGTGACATAAAAGACGTATCTATACAAAACTAGTCCCTTGGTGGATGTAGATGATCTCAAACGTAAAATTCAAGCAGACAGTAGAATAGAGCAAAGTTTCTCTCAGAATACTGCAAGACATCCAAATAGGAGTGACTAAAAAGGGAAAACTGTGCTTGAGAAAAAATGTGGAACATTTTCAACACTTACAATAGGTAGTGTTACAGTTGCATTTTTTTAAATTTAAATATGTATTGTGTTTGGTTAGTTATTATGTCTTGAAGTTAAATTCAAAAGGTGTGTAGTTGAATACATATCTTTATATTGGTATTTTTTTCAAATATATTTGACATATCGCTATTTAAAACTAAATTTCAGACAAAGACAAAAAATCAGAAGATATACCTAATGCAGCAGGAAATGCCGTATTTCAGCTTGGCGATTGGCGAGAAATACATCAGGTCCTTACTAAGGAAAAAATATTGAGGATGGCTATTTCCATTCCGAAATGTCGGGAAACACGCCTGAGCTATAGGTCATTTTGAAGAGAGCGAAAAATTATTTTAAAAATAAAATAAAAAATCCAGGTACGTATTCAAAAAAATTAGGTTGGTACGGATTTCTCGAAAACTGAAAACTGTGTGGAGACAAAAATTACGCCATTTTGTAGAGAAGAAGAAATCTTGGAGCTTTTGTATTGAACACTTTTTTTTAAAGATGATAGTTTTTGAATTTTGAATAAGTTTTAGGCATTTTTTACATTTTCCCTCATATCTCGGAAACGAAGAAAAATTTGGCAATAACGTGAACTTACCTTTAATGGACACTAAAATCTGCCACTTTTGTCTAATTTAACCGACCTCGTAGCTCTTACCGTTTCGGAGATAGGTAGCATTAGTAAAAAAAATTCAAAATAGAAGACTGCAAAATATCAGCTATTCCAATAGAACTGAAATTTGATGTTGACATTTGTAAAGAACCTGGGCTGGGATTCTGTAACGAATGAGATATTTTATTTATCTTCATTGACGTCTCCTCTCTATTGAATTCAACAAGAGAGAAGAAGACAGCAAGTGCCATAGCGATAGGGATAACGATCTCTATCTGTTACAGGGTTCCAGCCTTGATAAACTAATTGAGAAACCACTTCGAGAATTGATAGGATATCTTCTTCAGATACAGCTTGAAATCACGTAAAGAATATACTTCCTATATATTTGAAGGGACACAAGGATTGGGACTAGAATTTAGGAGAGGAAACACGAATTTCAATTTAGAATGTTTTGTGAACGCAGATTGGGCTGGAGACGTTCATGATCGTTAATTTGTACCCGGTTTTGTGTGGTCAGCACGAAAACAACAATGTGTTTCTCTGTCAACTAGAGAAACAGAGCTAGTAGCCTTATGTAGTGCTGTATCGGAGGGCCTGTGGTTATTGAAACTGGTGGAAGAATTTGAAATAAGTGCGAGACCAATCTTGGTTTATAAGAATAATCAAGGATGTATTTCTATTTGAAACAATCTTGCAGACAATCGTAGAGTGAAGCATATTGATTTGAGTTCAAGTTGAATATAACGTATTGAAGAGTTTTCTGTGGTTTTAGTAGTTTTCCTTTTAATATAACATGACAAGGCACGGTAATTTTGAATGTTACATGCACCGATTCAAATTCCGCCAGACGGAGGGGACCTGCACATGTGATATGACCAGCATAGAAGACGCACAGCATGTGAGAGGCGTGCAACCTTGTAGAGAGACAGTAACTTGAAAAGCAAATACGAGCAGAGTACGGCGAGCTTACTACCAGAACAACTTTCAAAGATCAACAAATGGGCAGAAGTGGCAGTCAAAGACTCGAATATGGAGCACGATGTAGAAGGAGAAGAAAAAGAAGCATGAACAAGTTTGACAGCAAACACAAACCTAATGAACAACATGGAACGATATAACAGTGAACCAAAAAAAAAAAAAAAAAGGGCTTCAATTCTCGCTAATTTGACCATGATTGGCGTTGAGTGGTAGGGGTATCCCTCTCTCTCTCTCTCGTTGCTGGGACAAGGTTCCAATGGAGGTGGTTTCCCTATATTGTGGGTATATACACCAGCCAACCAACGATCCAATAACCGAATCAACGTGCGTTACCTATTCGTTCATGATGATAATCTCATTGACTACCCAACAAAAATACGCGCCCAAAGAAGTTTTCACTCAAAAAATGTTATCTGTATTATTACCTCTGGCTAAATCTAACGATGTCACTTTTCCATTTAAAACAATATTATTGGCACTAGACTCCGACCTGCTGTCCCAAAATCGTATACTCTTATCGAAATGCCCACTGATAATCGTCGAACCTGCATTATCCACTGTTACTAGATCGTTACAGCTCGAACCTGCAAATTTCGTTTCTATACCTGAAAAAAATATTTTGTAGAACTTGATTGTGCTAAAATAAAAATGTACTTACAAGCTCTACTTCTCAAATCCCATACTTTTAACGTCCTATCGTGACTTCCTGTGACTACTTTTGAGGCGTCGCCTAAGAATTTGGCCGCCATTACTTTTCCGGAATGGCCAGTCAGGGTATGCTGCAAAAAAACAATTATCATTATAGAAAACTGTATACAAACAATGTAGGTTTGAACAAAACGTAATTACTATAGGTTGGGCAAAAATTACGATTTACAGCTAAAATAAGATATATTTTATAGCCGACGGGGGAGAGGCAATAAACTAGATTTTAATTATTATCTATTTCGAATTTTCGAGCTATTTCTGCCGCGCTATCGATCATGACCGTGGTTTTATTTTGTCTATAGAATTGGCTCGTTGGAATTCATTAATTGATAGGTATTTATATTGCGACTATAATTAATTATTAGCATAGATACCTTTTGGAGGAATTTGGTTAAAAATTTAATTTAAAAGAGTATGCAGACCTTAAGGCTTAACATTTTAGGTCAAAATTTAATTGAAGGTATTAAGATTACCTGCATCCTATTGAGACTTTTTATTTAGACATTATAATTGAATAAATAATAGGATAACTTGATGCTAGCCCAGATGTTTCAATAATATCTTTGAATTTGAAAGTTGCATAAGAACAATCTTCTTCCAATTTTTCTGCCTAAGCAGTGAAACTACATCTTTTAAGCCTGTCAAATGACATTAAAGAGCCGCTTTTAATGTTACCTATTCAGAAAATTTAGGTAGTAAAATGGCTGTAAAACCTGTTGATCGGTGCTCAAGACCGTTTGAAACATAACCACAATGCCCTTGACGAAAACAACAAAGTATGAGGATCTTAGAACACTCTTAATTTAAAGGTTGGGAGACTGTGAATACCCCCGCTATGGAAGCTGCAAAAACGAACCTGACCAAACCAGAACCAGTCCTTTCTTATTCATTACAGTTTAACAAAAATGGCAATCATAAGTTCATCAGAAGTGGAGGAATATCTGTGCAATCTCGTGTCATCACAAGAAACAGATTTGGAGCAACCCAATTCACTTCAACATAACAGGACGTATCTGCATTTTTTACAAGATTTCATTCGAGCTAATTTATTTCCCTAATCTAGATTGCTTTGTAGGGAATGTATAGAAATCAAAACCTCTAATATCTATAATTATAATTCTTCTGGCTTATCTGATATTATTACACAAATATTTTCTGCACAGTATTGTTCTCAAGAGATCACTGACACACTGCCATGGGGAGATTCACAGACATACAGATAACTGAGGATAGCGAAAATGAGATACCGCCGGGTGTTAAACGGTCACTATTGCGCAAAATGTATGGCCTACAACAAGTATTAAGCCACGATTTCGGGCGTACCTTAGTAATAATACATGCAAGCCGATTTAAACATATAAATTTCGTTTGTCTTAATGCCACGGACGTAACCGAGAAACTCGATGATTGGTTAAATACCCCGAAGGGAATTTCGTATTTATTTTTGGTTGCCCTTTTGTCAGTGTAATTATTTGAACCCCAAAGGTCAAGCCATGATATTACCCCCTTGAGGGAATAATATGATCTAGGAGTTGAAAACTATAAGCATGATTTGTTTAATTAACCTTTCGATAATCGTTTTCTTATGTATTACTTTCTATTCGACTGGAGAGTCTTCAACATAAATTGTGTTGTCCTGGTATTTTCTTACTTCAATTTTTCTCCAGTAATAAATCCATTGTTCTCTAAACGAAATAAAAATTTTACAATTATTTTATCTAAGTAGAAATAGTGTTGATTGGCTCTAATGCGAATCATGACATATTGTGCCTGCGTGCTACTTTTTTTGATTAATTTTAGTTCCACTTTTTGCGGCACATATTTAATTAAATTTCGACATGGTACGAGTTTCTTCTTCAATGGCTCTTTGTCGTATCCGAGAGCTGAAAACCGCACGTTCACCTAAATTCTCGAAACTAGATTACACGAATTCAATTTTCAGAGGGTTTTTCTCTAATCAATTTATATCCATTGGATGGTTTCCACAAGCTTCGAGTTCGATACACCTTTGAAATACTTCAACAATTTGTTATTATTATTATTTGAACAACCAGAAAGCGGTAATATCGATGGAGATTGGAGCTATTGTATATGGTAGGTTCGGGAGTTTTTTGCTTAACAAGTGCATGAAACGTGTCCTAAGTAGATTACACAGGATGATGGAAGAGAGAGACTGATGGCCTTTTTTGATATTCTAATAACTATAACTTCTTTGGGGACAAAAGAACAGCTAGAAGAAAAATTTAAAGCCAGTAAAATAGGAAATAAATCTCCTATGAGTCTATTTACGTAGGTAATCAGGTAAGTAATTATCCACTAGATAAATTTAGAACAGAGCATTTCGTTTTGTGGGCGAATACAAGAAAGTCCTTTTCAGTATTTTGCATAACTAACTTCAGTGGGTTACCATTTTTCTCATCCAACCAACGGTGTTGAGATCTAAGATTTATTATCCTTTTAAAGTAAACAAGTGTGGCCGTTTTCTCTTATACAATGTAAAAACCGTGTAATTAAATACCAGGACAAGCAATGTGTGCGATTCCCACTCGAACCGAAAAATAATTTATCAAAGAACAAACTTGGAATACCAAATAATCGTTCGTCAAAGGAATGGGAGCTAAATCACTCTCTCATTTAATACAGTTTCAGTGCTAATCCGCATTCGTACGTTTCCGTCTGCGCCCATTAAAATAACATTTTCTGTCCGAACTGACACACAATATCTGATATTAACCAATTAATTTAATGACAGATAGGAGTTTGCTGTGGAGCATCTATCGTGTTGAAATCGAAAACGATGTGTTTATTTTAGAATGTCTTTGTTAATTTAACTTTACTCTTCTATTATGATGGATCTGATCCGAGTTACTTGAACAAAATCAATTTGCTATAAATCAAATTAAATGGTTTTGTTGATGATAATTAAATAAAGAAACTGGCCAATCGGTTCTTCAATTTTTGTTAACATTGTTGAAGACTATCAAGACAAGTAGTACTTAAATTGGAGATGTATTGACAAGCATTAAAATAGATTGAATTAATTAGATTCACTCACAATGTTGCAAAATGCGAAAAAAAAAACAGCATTAACAGACGGTAAAAATGCCAACGCATAAATATTTATTATACCCAATAATGAGATAAAATAATGGAATATCCGGTAATCCGGTTGATTCCGATAAAATCTCGGGCCGGCGAGATGTGTGATATAACTTTTTCAATTTAAAATTCATTACCAATCCGGACTGTGTGTCGAGGCTGCGCGAATTTCTTCATTAATGTAATTTAGAATTATTTTTTAATTGCCCGTCCCTGGCTCGATTTAATAATATTTAATGGTGCCGATGGTAGCGATAAAAACACGTTCGGCGTTGCGCCCATCTTTTTGGAATTGTCTTTTAATTATTAGAGGCGCCAACGATTAAGAAAAAAAATTTCTGAGACTGACAAGAAATGTCAGCATTTTTGACCGGTTGACAGGTCGCAAAACCCAATATTCTGGTATTTTAATTATGTTTCAATAGTTGCTAAGGAATCAATGAATAACAATACGAGAATCACTTTTCCGGCCTGGGCCGGGAAAGTGATTCTCGTACTGCTGAATAATTGGAACAAAAATACAAACGTTCAACAGATATTTAACCGATCTCAGAAAAAAAAAGTATGTGTATTTCGGTGGAAAAGCATACATTCTCGGCCTTCGGTGTTTGCCGGCCTCGGCTACGCCTCGCCCGTCAACTTACACCGTCGGCCGAGAATGTGTCACTTTTCCACCTAAATACACAATATACTATAGAATAAAATTAATGCACATATAGACAAAGCGTTATGTATTGGATTGGACATTTTTGGATCAAATATGTTGTCCAGGAGATTTCTCGAATTTTATCAGCAGCTCTCGTATCTCAAATGTTTTTTTCAAAGGTTCCGTTCTCTCAGTTATTTGTCAGCTTTTTTCCCTGGTTTTCTTGTTCTTTTTCTACCCTTTGGTTGAATGTGACATATTTCTTTAGGCCGTCTGTTCTCGGGTATCGCTGCACGTGTATAACCCATATTTTGGTGTCATTTGTAATTGTGTTTGTGTTTGTTATTTCCGTACCGGTCTTTTCTTCATCTATTCTTATAGTGCATCCAACTAACCGTTAGGATTTATTGTGCATCAACCACTGGGGTTTTTAGCACATGATACAATAATTTTATGATATACATTATAATTTGAGGCATAAATCATAGTTTTCTAAAAAATGTATTAAATTTAGTATATTATCTTGGTGGCTGTTGAAGATGTCTTGCATGGAATGGACAATGTGAGACGCTTTCCTTTGCTGGGCTGTGATTACTTTATTGCATGTTTCACAAACTGGAGGATCCATTCCTTGTAGTAAGTGTCCATGTGTGAGTCTAGTGTGTCCGATTTTCAGTCGCGTTATTATTGTTTGGAACGACCGGCATAGAGTTAATGGCTTGTCAGGTTTCATAGGAGGTTTCACTTCGTATAGTTTTGAGTTTGAACTGTTCCATTCTAGTTGCCACGAGTAGTGGAGGTAGTACGTGCCAAGATAGCGTTGTTGCAATATGTGGATCCAAGATGCTTAGATCGAGTACGGAAAAGTTTCCTGTGAACGAGTTGAAGCGAGTAGAGGAGCCATCATTCAATAAAATAAGGTTTTCTGAGTCCATAGGATCCTTCAGAATTTTACCTCGTTTTTTGTTGCTTTCCCAAATTAGGTTATGGCTGTTAAAATCGCCTATACAGTAAGTATTATGCGTAGAGAAGGAATTTGTTGAAGTAAGTCACAGATCTCTTATTTGTCAAATTCTCTGACGGGCGGTATGTGAATATTGCATAATGACAGAGGTTGTGGTAGGAAAATAGAGATTGCGAGAGCTTCCAGATTGCAGATAAGGGGGACGTTTACGGTTTACGGCCTCCAGTTCCTCTTTAACAAATATGGTCACCCCACCACTTGCTCTGTCTCGATTTGCTCTTGTTCTGTTGCGATAAAATCCTTTAAAACTTCTAGGGCAGAGCAGCTTATCATCTCGAATATGTGTTTCTTGTAAGGCAATTAATGTGGGATTTTCATCATGAATTAAAAGTTGGTACATATTGTCTTAAGACTTCTGGATATAATTTTTGGAAATATATCTGTAATCATCTCTTGCAGCGCTACCAAGTTTTGAGTGTAATTTAGGATAACTTGCACGATATCTGGTGAGCCATTTGAGTTTTCGAAAAGGTCAATTAATTTTTCATATGAGATTACGTAAGGTGGATCATGTTCTTGTATAAATTTCTTTGGCAGGTTTAAGTTGTTCGCATGCTTGTTTATGGAGGTTTGGTGCTTGTTTTAATTTTTTGATAGGCAGATTTTATGAAGTTATGGTTTAGTTGTATTTCTACTGGAGGTGTATTAACTTCTGTAATATTTCTTTTGGTAGGCTGAACATCGAAAAAGGAATTTTCTGTATTTGTTGACGCGTGGTTGATAGTTTATCTGACAATGGTTTGGTGTTATCTTGATCTTGGTTACTTTGATTTGGGCATTAGGAGGCAATATGCCCACTTTGCTTACATTCAAAGCATGACATACCATCTTGAGAAAGAAAAATACGATAGGAAGTGTTGTCTTGATTGATGAGCATAGAGCTTGGTACTTCGAGGCCTTCTGAAGGCGCAACGTAAAATTGTCTTCGTAAGCTTAGGATATGACTGTATTCTGGGTCATTAATTCCTATCCGTAAAAAGGTAATTGGTGAGACCAATTTCAGTCCAAGTCCCTTCAGTTTGTCTTCGAGCAATGCATGAAGGATAGTTGGGCATACGTTTGAGAGGACTATACGTTGAGCAGGTGATATTAGGCGTCTGCCTTCAAGAGATTGTCCTTTTATATTCATGGTGCCAAAATTGGTTAGAAAGTGATAAACTTTTTCTTTGCTTGATAGATATAAACATATTCTATTATTATAAATTCTGAATGCTAAGGAAATGTTTCTTGGGCCTATTATTGTTCCAAGGGAAAATATACAGTGTGTCCCGCTTAAGAACTGACTACCCTTCTAAAATTTTTATTTTTTAACCGATCAATTTAATTTTTTTTCTGTCTTATACCTATCTACTCGAATTTGGCACCAAGGCTTATAATTTTATTTCTGCGACTGTACTGATGTACAGGGCGTCCACATTTATAAGCTCAAATTTCAATAACAACTATAAGGAATTTTTTTAGAAAAAATCCGATAGCAAATTCTTGTTTAGAATGGTCTGAACCCCGAATGTACTTATTTTTGTTTCAATACGATACAGGATGATCACAACAAATTTTAAAAATTTAATAAATCAAACTGCAAAATGTCATATCTTGAGACCACTTTACTACAAGTTTTGGTTAGGGATGTCCTAAAACTATGCTGTATCAAGTTTTGTTGTTCTTGACGCCTCAAAATATGACATTTTTGTGGTTTGATCCAATAAATTTTGAAAATTTGTTGTGATCACCCTCTATCGTACCAATTGGAACAAAAATTATTATATTTGGATTTTAGACCATTCTAAACAAGAATTTGCTATAAGATTTTTTCTAAAAAAAATCCCTAATAGTATGTACATACTTTTCGAAATTAGGGCCTATAAATGTGGACACCCTGTACACCAGTACAGCCGCAGAAATAAAATTATGAGCCTGCTAAATTCGGGTAGATATAGGACAAAAAAAATTAATTGAATCGGTTAAAAAATAAAAATTTTAGAAGGGTGGTCAGCCCTTAAGCGGAACACACTGTATATTCCTGTATAGAGGATCCATCCAGAGCGCCAAACAAGATTGCTTGTTCCTTGATAGGAAATGAGTTTTGAGATACTACGCAGTATAATTTGTGTTGGAGAGGTTGGGTATGAGGTAGGTTTGGATTTTGGTGTAAGTAATACTTGACTGGCATTTCTGTTGTCAGAAGCGCCTCCGCCTTTATCATTCATTCTGGTAGCGGATGGCTATAAAATACTACTATGGTTCTGTATTCGCGTGGTAGATTGATCTCCAGCTTGGAAGGGATGAGCCTTAAGATATGGCCGCGTGCGCACTTTTTAGGCGCGCATCGATGCCGTTTTGGCTAAATACAGACTATATGTGAGAGATTTTATAACTTACAGTCGGTAACTAATTTTCAGTCGTGAAATTGGAGATCTATGAGCTTTTACACAATTTAACTTCTCAAGAAATGACTAAAATCCGATTTTTAAAATGACCTGTCAGGTGTTTCTGTGCAACAGTTGGTTGGCAGGATCGGACCGTAATTGGTATTCTTAAAACTCTTCTCGCATTTCTATAAGCAGTTTTTTGAACAACTCTTCCCATCTCTGTGTTCCTTGATTTACCTTCTTTTCCGTTTTCTCAACTCGTGGCCCCCTATACTCCAATTTTCTTTGTAAACATTTCATTTCTTACATACCTTTGGGCTCTTCTGAATCCCATTACATCTTTTACTATGTATGTAGGTATAGGCACTTGACGTTGGTTTATTCTCACACTTTGAGTTTTATTATGCAAAAATGATCTTATCAACTGTAAAACATTACCTCCAATTCCTATGTTTTGAAGCTTATCGAATAGAATTTGGTTTGTCACAGTGTCGAATGCTTTTCTTAGGTCCAGTAAATGCCCATGCACCTTTTATTCTCCAAGAAGCTCCGGTTTCCGTGATCCGTCAATTAGATGACAGCCTCTTCTGTGCTTGTTTTTTCTTTGAATCCATATCTAATGATTTTTCGAGAGAAGATCATTATTGTCCAGAAATTTAGTTACGCGCAGCCTAATTCAAAAGAATTCTATGGAAGGAAGATCCCACACAACCAATATTCGAATATGAGCTTACTACGGTTACATACGGTACAGCCTCAGCTTCATTCAAGAATTGCTACAAAGAATACATGAGGAAGTCTTTGGGAGTATTATAATCTCCATCCGACGATTGATCCAAATTCCGAGTACAAATCTCTGAATTAAAAAAGCACATGAAAAGGGAAATCTTACCAGAAATATCGAAATTATTTGATCCGTTGGGATGGCTAGCTGTAGTAATAATTCGAGCAAAACTCATTATCCAAGATCTATGGCTGCAAAATATAGGTCAGGATCAACCTGTTGACGATGTCACATTTGCAAGATGGCATACGTTCCAAAGAAATATCAACGATTTGGAAAAGATCAAAATTCCCAGATGGATGCATTATAAAAATTGAAGAGAAGAGCTTCATGGATTCTGTGATGCATCTGAAAAAGCATACGGTCCGAACAACTACTGAGGAAGCCCAACTTGTCACGCTCCCACAAGCTAAGTCCAAAATCGCCCCAGCAGGAGCAAGAACAACTTTATCTCGGCTAGAACTATGCGCTGCCGTTCTCCTCTCTATAAGCTCATAGAAAAAACTAAAGTCTGCCTTGCAGTTTGAAAATACTCAGACCTTTGCCTGGACGGCCTCCATGATTACCTTAGGATGGATCAAGGGAGATCCAATACAATGGCAGACTTTTGCTACAAATAGAGTATGTGAGATATACAGAAACGCACCTCAGGTATCTTTGAATCACGTCAAATCACAGGAAAATCCAGTAGATATCGTATCACGAGGATTGGACCTCGACAAACTACAATCAGCTGAACTGTGGTGGAAAGGCCCGCAATGGTTATACCGATCTAGCAGTCTACCAGTTACATAACAAACTCCAGAGGTTACAGTAGAAATCAAAACTACGTGCCACAAAATCGAAGTCGTCATAGCAAATGATACATGGGAACGATTTTCACCCCTGACAAGGACGTTACGAGTACTATCCTACTGCCACCGCTTGGCAAACAGAAAAGAAAATCCAATCTTGCCTGTAGGAGAGGTAAACGCAACCTTCACTAAAATCATAAAAGTAGTGCAGATGCAAGAGTTTCCTCTGGATGAACATACCCTATCATAGTCATGTCACTAAATTGATAATCGCAGACGCCCACAAGAAGGCATGGAGGCAATTAAGCCACATTGTCATACCTAAGAAGCAAATTTTGGGTCATTAATGGAAAGTGAGCAGTGAAAGCGATGTTGAAAAACTGCATCATGTGCATCCGAAACAAAGCAAAAACAGCCGAGCAACTGATGGGACTATGTAGCAGTTTTCGTCTGCCTATCCACCAAAGCAATTCACCTCGAAGTTGTCAGTGACATGCCGTCTGAGCATCTCTAGCGATATTCTGAAGATTGGTCGCTAGAAGAGGCCAATGCGCAAATGTTTACAACGATAATCATCATCAAAACAATTTGAAAACGAAGTGAACGTAATAATCGACACACCAACATTACAAAACGTAGGCGCGGCTCGTGAGTTTTTTTATAGGTGGGTCAAATTAAGAGAGACAGCGCCGCAGGCTAAAATAGCGCCTTAGGCGAAAAAATTTTGGTACTAAATTAAATTTTTTGGCATTAGTAGAAATTTAAATTTGAATATTTTAATTACGTTTGAACAACAAATCAATTCTCCTATCCTTCTGATTAGCAAAGTGGTCAATGACTAGTTAATTGAAGTTCCCAATTTTTTTGATAAATACCTTCTCAATACTGAGCATAGCCAATGCACTCAACCTAGACTCTTTCATGGTTGGAAGCAAATGTGCCTCTCTATCTTACTCATTTACGCCCGTTATGTCTCTCTCTCTCTGATTCCTATTGCATTTGCCTATGATCATTTCAAAGCTATAAGCCCAATTCTGAATGCGGCCGAGCGCAGCTATTAGGCCTGTATTTTGTAATTTTTCAAGGCGGGTACCCAATATGCGCAAAATAATCCGATTTCTGTATTCTGTTGAGCGTGATGTTGATTAATTTAAAACGTAATATTCAAGATGTTTAATTGAAAATTTATTGTTTGATTTTTTGGTGGGTCATTGACCGAATGACCTTACAGAGGAGCCGCGCCTGACAAAACGTAATAATAAATATGGGTACTCATATTTATATCATATATATATTATTACACACAGTGGTACTTTATCCCCCCAGCCGCACCACATTTTGGAAGAATATTATGGAAAGCAGGGGTCAAATCAGAAGATACAAGCGACACTGGTGTGTTAACGTCTGGCCACTTCCTAATAGGAAAAGAGTTGTTAGCACCACCAGAGCTGTACCATACAGAGATCAGCAGCTTATCTCAAAGATGACGACTCATACAAAAAAATTAGGAAAAACCCCTGGCACGCTTGGTGTACAGAATACCTTACAAGACTACAGCAGAGATATAAATAGAAAAGCCAAAGTAAAAACTTACGAGTAGGCACTATGGACCTACTTAAAGAAGAAAACGAATCAATGGCCGCTGGCACGAATCGCTGAAATCCACCCAAGAGAGGATGGTGCAGTTCGAGTAGTTACGATAAAGCAAGCAGGAGGCATTATGATGAAAAGGCCGATTCATAAACTAATTCCACTTCCGATAGAAAAAGACGAGAACTTCACAGCTTCAAAAATTACAAACTACTCAGCAACAAGTGACCTAACGCCAATAACTAGAAACACTAGAGCCTAGACATCGTCCAAATCGCAGTCACTACATCTCCTACTAGCCTTCCTTATGCTTATTTCCATTATCACAGCAGAAAGCAGATTAAGTAGACAATATGGCAATATCGAATGTTGTTCGTTAGTTTGAAACACTGTGTAACAGGTCAATCGAAAATCGAAATTACAAATGAAGTAAAATGCACTTCATTAATACACCATTTAGAACAATTGGAAAATCACACCAAGTGAGTATATGGCACTCTCAACAGCGTTGGAAAAATTTTAACCGCAGTCTTGAATACTAAACTACAACATTTTCAAGAAAGATTCAGTCAAGGAATTGAAGTTATCAACAAAATTCAAAGCTGGTACAAACAAATCGATACCAATGCATTAAACATCCACCTTCTCAGTGCCTATCAAATGGCAATAAATTTTATAGGTGAAATCAGCGAATAATACGATAAATTACTAGAGATACATTCCAACAGAGAAACCATATACGATTCAATCTTAAGAGCGTATGTTCACTCTATCATTGAACAAACCAGTCAGAAGTTTCCAAGTAATCTGAAGATTGTCGCATCCTCAATCACAACGACAAAGGTGACTGCCAATAAGACACACATTCAGATGTTCGGATATTTTCCCATTGCAAATGTTACTGAATTCGAGTTGATATGAGCCCCACCAGTACCCTTAGAGTCTGGAAATGGTACCTATTGGACTATGAACCTTCCAGATGGATGTATTGCGATTGATTACAACACTTAAGTATACTTCGAACTCTAAAAACGTGATTTGCAGCAATGGATTCAGTCATATGATCACCATTTTATCTGATCTCTAGCTCTGAGACAAATCCGTCATGCATCATTGACGAAATTTATGAATGACCGGAACCAAGGCGTTGCAAGATTCAAATAAACAATATTCAAAGCATCATATGGAAGGAGCTCTGCGCAACCAACACATGGATGTTCATTATGGATTCCTCAACAACCATATCTGTCATTTGTGACGGCGTGCGGGAAGATGTTGCAATAAATACAACAGGCATTATTCAAATATCTCAGGAGTGAATCATCAAAAAAAAAACAGAATATTTTAACTCCTTAAGGAAGCACTACCATTTCAGTATTGGGCAGCTACTCCAAAAGAGTCCCTATAGGAATAAATAGTACAGTCAGTGTGGAGCACACTGAGAATCTACCCTTGGAGTCAGTTTTCAGACTAACTGACAACCTGAAAGAGTTGGAAAACAACGAGAAGAGTTTGAATGCAGAGTTGGACAGCAGAGTATGGCGGAATATTCATCATCATTCCGTAGCCGTTAGCAGCATCACTACCATTCATCATCAGCATGGTATACGATTAAACTCATTCTGAAATACCAACAAACCAAATAGAACCGGAGAACGAGTCGATGCGAAGACAAAAAAGATGAGTTTGAACTACAGTCTTTGAGATCTTCTATTCTGGAGAGGCGGCAGAATGTATACCTAATTATGAATTATATATAAAAATTCAATTTCATTGAAATTTAAATGTCCACTTTTTGGAATATCACTATATAAATTAATTTATTTCCTACTTAACTATTATAGATCCATAATACCTAGGAAACGAAATACGTAAACATACCTTAACAACCTGAGGGCAATATGATCCATAACTCCCGCTTTTTGCGGGCCTTATTATCTATAACGCCCGCTTATAATACCCTGAGATGTTTTTGTTGTTGTTATTTCATTATTTTGCACTTTACCCTAGGCAGCCACTAAATGTCCGACCGAAAATAATTTTCGGTCTGGCCAGGATTCGAACCCGGTCTACCATCAACATTTCCCATGTAGTCAAGTGCGTGAACCCACACGACCACCGTAGCCTTGCCT